CCTCTGTTTTACGTCTCTAGATTACTCGGTCTCGCCCCATACGCTCTCTCAGAAAACGGAAAGCTGACTGTGTCTTTACCCGCTCTGGTTTTCAGTATTTTGATCTCTGTTATAATTATATTACTGCCTTCCTACTCTCTTATGTGCGGAGGATCATTTCGCGACCTACTACGTAATAAATTTGTACTTGAGATTGGTTTCCAGATTTTAACAATGGCTACTATATTTAACAGCGCGCTGTCTGCAAGTTTAACATTGTTTCGTTGCAGAGAATTGATTCATGTTTACAGTGAAGTTTTGTATTTGTGCTCCATGATTGATGATGTGTTTCTTGTATTCCATAAGAGTTTCAAAACCATCATTAGTTTCCTATTACTGGAATGTATTCCCTTCTTTATATTTTACACTCTCTTTTGTGCTACGTTTGAGGACTCAACTAATCCCTTATTTGCTATGCCCCTAAATTTCTACATCTTGTTTGGCCCATTCGTTGTTGTTGTTCAGTTTGCGTCTCTAGTTCTCCTATGTATGCGTTTATTTTCGTATATAGACACACGTCTAGGTGAAATTCTTTCAGAAGTGTCATTTCCAGCGCGCGACATGACACTATCATCGTTTCGCAGTGTGCTACCTTCTGTGAAACCTCATCTGAGAAGAAGATCATCGTTTGAGGTTATGTCGACGTTAAGCAAACTTACACCTCGACGCAACCACGTTTCCGGAATGTCAACATCCAATTCCCAGATATTCTCTGTGCACCGCGGTAAAAAAACACCACATACTAACACAAAATCCACGAGTGTTTTATCGCCTGTATTAATTTCACATCTAAAACTTCAGATTTCGTCACTTGCCGAATTTCACGAATATCTCTGTGACACAGTTCGGAGTATCAATTCGGTCTACTCTGTGCGAATTCTTGTCAGTGTAACCCATGCATTTGTTTGTATCACAGTGTCGCTTTTCTGTTCGTATTTCGTTCCCAAGTGGGAAATGGCTGTAAAGCCCATATATGTTTTAATATTTTTAATGTACTGCGGCCTGACGAACCTGCTGATTCTGTTGTATGCTTGTACGACGTGCACTGAGGAGGTGAGTAAAATATCCTATTCAAATTAAGATTAGATTACAGTAGAGTAGAGTTGAGTTGAGTAGAGTAGAGGGTTTTCTGAACGACTGATTTGTGTCATGTCAAGTCCATCGATTTTTTGTAATGTGTCAGGGAATTATGAATAACCCTGTATTATTCCCGTGATCGAAACAAGAACGGTCAGATGGGATGTGCATGTAGCATAAATGAGAGAAATGACAAATGCATAAATTACTTTAATGAGAGATCCTTCAAGGTAAGAGACTAGCTGAGCGACTGTTAACTTCTGAAGCACTAAAAACTTCGTTATAATTTTATTTTGGAGGTGCTTGAAGGAAGGATGAACTGTACGCAAAGACTTTCCTCCATTGATGTAACTCTGAGCTAAACAGCGCGATTTCAGAAATTGTACCCGACAGTTTTCTTGAGCGCCTTAAAGTCTGATAGGACTTTACCGACGTTTCAGAGGTCATTCCTTCCTCCTTCATTAGGGCTATGAGACAGTCATCTCACCGTCTTGAGAACCTCAAATCTTACAAGCAGATTCTCAAATACTTTCCTGAAATAAAGTCTGTGTTACGAGAGACCGCTTCTCTGACTGTGGACAGAATTTACGCGGCTCATGTTAAGTTGCTGTAGAGGACTTGTGAACACGGTATTGAAGCTTCGGCTTCCATAAAAGCCCACTTAAGTAATAAATGGCTTTTCAAGCAGTTACTTATTACGTGCTAATTAAATGTGAAATAACATGCCACACAGTGCGTCATCGTCGAGGGAAATCAACGGAATTGTCTATGTTATAAAAGAAAAGTGGAATATTGATTTTTGATGTTGACGCTAGTTGATAAGAGAATTAGAAGTTACAAGAGAACGGTTCTAAGAGTAGTTATCTACAAGACACAAGATACCCTGGCCGGTTTTTGCATATTCCTACTGCGATGGACCTATTCTTGAAGGCAGTGAAGCCTCTTTTTTACATCTCTAGAATATTTGGCACCGCCCCTTACTCTCTCTCAGTAGAGGGAAAGTTGACTGTGTCTGTACCCGCTCTAGTTTATAGCATTTTGTTCCATCTTATATTTATGTCAAACCCTGTCTTCGCTCTTATTTCCACTGGAATGTTTGGTGACTTACGTAACAAATCTGTAACTGATTTGGGTTTAACTCTTTTGAATATGGTTATGCTATTTTCTAGCGCTCTGTCTGCAAGCTTAACATTGTTTCGTTTTAGAAAGTTAATTCATACTTACAGTGACGTTTTGCATTTATGTTGCGTGATTGATGATGTGTTTCTTGTATTCCATAAGAGTTTCAAAACCATCATTAGTTTCCTATTACTGGAATGTATATACGTGTATATGTGTATACTTTACACTCTCTTTTGTGCTACGTTTGAGGACACTACAACTCAATTTTTGTACATGGCCCTAAATTTCTACATCTTATTTGGCCCATTCGTTGTTGTTGTTCAGTTTGCGTCTCTAGTTCTCCTATGTATGCAATACTTTTATTTTCCGTCGTTTACACAAGCTTATTGTTAAAATCATATAAAATCATATAAAATTTCACATAAAATTGTTACAATTTAAAATTGACGACATGTTTCGATATACAATCTTATCATCGTCAGGTCTATCAAAATTAAAATTAAAATCTGGTGTATCTGTTGCTCTGCTTATATTGTTTTTGTTTTTACTCGTTTTTACTACATCTCCAGGCTTCTTCGATTTTATTTTTGGAGACGCGCCTGGGTGCCTATATCTGCAAAATCAATTTTAATTTTCATATCGTGATAAGGCTACCGAAATAGGAAATGGAATAATATTACTCTAATTTATAATATTTTAAGGAATTATTCAAATATATCGTATTACAAACAAAATAAATGTAATCACAAAATATAAAGTATTATAACATACCGGGTTGTGTATGAGGTGCGTGTCCGTTGTTATTGAAGGGCAGACAGTAACTGAGTTGTGAGTATCGTGTATGGCTATATATATTGGGTGAAAGTTGTTTAGGGGGTTGGGTCAATGGACTGTAGAATGTTAAATATCGGATTGTTCGTGTAAATGTTGCTGTCGTTTAATGCAAGGTTCTGTTTATGTGTTCTTTGTATATGATATTTCTCTATGGTGTCTCTATGTCGTTTATTTTGTATTATTTTTATAATGTCCAATGTATGTTCTATTTTGTTGTATGAATGTCCTGTGTTTAATATATGCTTTGCATATGCTGAATGGTCTTTATTATGTTTTATTGCTGTAATATGTTCTTTATATCTTTGATTAAAGGTGCGTCCAGTTTGGCCTATATAGGTTAACGGGCAATCATTGCATTTCAACCTATATATGCCTGGTTTTTCGTATTGATTTGTTGTATCTATTTGTGGTTTTTGTTTCAAGATGTTTTTTATATGCAACCACGTGTCCGGATTGTCAACAACCCGTTCCCAGATCATCTCTGTGCGTCCCAGGAATATACCGTCACATGTTAAGGAAGACTCCACATGTCTCATATCACCTGGGTTAATTTTACATCTGAGACTTAAAATCTCGGAACTTATTAACTTCCACGATAATCTCTGTTATATAGTTGGCAGTATCAACTCGACGTACTCTGTGCCCATTCTTCTCAACGTAGCCGATGCATTTGTCGGCATAACAGTGTCTCTGTTCTGTTCGTACTTCTTTCACGTGCTGGAAAGCTATGGATCGTCTGTATACATATTTGTATTAGTAATATACAGGAGTCTGATGAAGCTGCTGGTACTGTTGTTTGCTTGCACGACTTGCACTGAGGAGGTGAGTAAAATATCCGATTCAGTTAAAGAAGGTTAATTTATTAGTTTAGTGTATAGTGTTATCTAAACGACTGATTGGTTTCTGGAATCACATAAATCATGCTATATATTGCCCTTTACCTATAAAGAATCTCATATTTGTATACAGTTAAATAATTCGATGTGTATTAGAATTAGTTTGTAACCTCCATGTGAAAATTGTGTAGACTTTACGATTTTTTCAAGTAAGAAGCTTGTTGATTGGATGCTGTAACTTATTTTTCAGAGTTACAAACATGTGCAAGCCGTTGAAAATGATTGATTTATCAGCTTTCAGTCAGTTGAGTTCAATTATCAAAATTCAGCGGTGAACGGACGTCCTAATATTTTATGATGTCCCTCAGCACAACGGTGGATGCCCTAGTCTGTGATGTCCCACATGTTAGCAAACAGTTGCTGGCACATTATACAGGTGTTCCAGGAGGAAAGGTCAATATTCGGAGAGGTCATAGTATCGGTCATTCTAAGCAAAAAAGTGTTTATGTACATGTGTCCTATTCCGAACGGTTTCCGAGATAGAGCTGTTTCACTGTACAGTTGCAAAATTGTCGATAAGAAAGATATTACGTGCCGGTATTTATTGTTCAAGTGACAAAGTTGGTAGAGTTCACCTAGTATAATACATTTTCGAAAATACCACCGTCAACATCAATGCACTTTGCAACTCGTGTGAGGACATGGCGCGTTGTTCGTTCCTTTATGTGGGCGATAACATCCAATAGGGAAGGAGAATATTGGGCACCAAATCCAAACTACTGTGTAGTGAAATAGCTCTATCTCATAGGACACGTGTACATATACACTTTTTTGCTTAGAATGACCGATACTATGACCTCCCAGAATATTGACCTTTCCTCCTGGGACATTCTGTATATGACAGGGGGAAAATATAAAATTGTCCTTTTTCTTTGGGTCTGTGAAAACTATTTTAACTAATACTTGTATTATTCATAATAAAATCTAAATGTTAAGTTTGTTTTCCATATTCCAAAAACTTGTCAAGTGTATTTCAATTCTTTTGCGATACGTCACTTGAACCTAGCGACTGCGAACATCCCACTTCTTCTGTCTGGGTCGATAATGTGACCCATCATGACGGCCGACTTTCGTGCTTCTCCTCGAGACGAATTCCAATTTAATTTCTCACTCATTACGTAATTGAACGCTTCATTATCGATAACCAATTGTGACTATACTCTTCGTTGATAGGATAACTGACGTGTTTATTTGTGTAAATATGTTTTATTAGGCCATTTTCCGTCATTCTAGCGTGTTCACAAGCGAGCAACTTCCTCGTCATGGAGCAGCACCTGAAGGCCGTGAAAGCTCTTCTGTGCGTCTCGAGAATACTCGGTCTAGTGCCATATTCTCTTTCAGAAGGAGTGACGCCGACTTTGTCTGTACCAGCTCTGGTATACAGCATTTTGTTTGTTGTTGTAAACGTATCTTTCCCATGGTATCACCTTGTACGCGTCCACAGACTTGGCACCTCGCATGCTGAATCTGTACCTGAGTTAGGTGTAAGCATTTTGAGTGTGACCGCGATATTAACCACCATGCTATCTACAAGCATTTCACTGTTTCGTTGTAGACATGTCCTACAAATTCTTACTGATGCTTTATATTTGTGCTCGTTTATTGGTGATAAGTCTTCGACGCCCCAGAAGAGTTTAACCATCATCATAAAGTTGTTGTTGCTAGAATGTATTCCCTTTTTTCTCTTATATCTTGTATTTTGTGCATCACTTGATGACATTACCATGGGATTGTTTTCCATGCCATTCTCTTTCTTTATCTTGTTTGGCCCATTCATGGTTATTGTTCAGTTTGCGTCCTTTGTTCTCTTATGTATGCATTTACTTTCGTGTATAAACACATGTCTCGGTGAAATCCTTACAGAATTGTCATTTCCAGATAGCGATCGTATCATTAAACTATCACCGCTTCGCAGTGACTTCCTTTCTGCGAAACGTCATCTTAGAAGACCATCGTTTAAAATTATTCCAAGCAAACTTACACCTCGACGCAACCACGTGTCCGGAATGTCAACATCCAGTCCCCAGATCTTCTCTGTTCGTCCCAAGAATTTACCGGGGTTAATTTCACGTGGTAAATTTGAAATCCCGTCACTTATCGACTTTCACACCGATGTCTGTGATATAGTTAGGAGGATTAACTCGGCCTACTCTGCGCGGATTCTTGTTAATGTAGCCGATGCATTTGTCTCTATCACAGTGTCGCTTTTCTGTTCGTACTTCGTTCCCATGCAGCATAACCGCGGGAAATCCACATCTTTATTCATAATGTTAATATATTGGAATTTCATGAAGCTGCTGGTTTTGTTGCGTGTCTGCACAATTTGCGCCGAAGAGGTGAGTGAAGTCTCCGACCCAGGTAAGATATAAATGGTATAGTGATACTTTCTTATGACAGCACATTTTGATTTTTTTCAAGTGTCTTAAGAATAGAAGAAAATAATGAAATACGTAGTCTACAACAATTAAGTTGCTACGTTCCTGAGATAGCTTACAGCAACTTGCCATATTATGACACCAGTATCGAGCGGATATCGTAACTTGCATTTGAAGAGGTACGATATGTGTGCAGAACGAAGTGCGATGAAAAAATAATTTGCCCAATGTTTTCCATTTAAGATGAAAGACATCTGCGTTTATAAGCAAGATGTAATAGAATTTCGGAAATGTTGATCTATTTCCTAGACGGTTCGTACTCTTCTCCACATATTATGAAAATGATCAAATCAAGGAGAATAAGATGGGTGGTATGTTTAGCACCCGAGCGGGAGATGGGAAGTGCGCACAGCATTTTTGTCCAAAAACCCGAATGTAATAGGTCACGCTGAAGAAATAGGCTCAGATTGGTCTCAAAGAAACAGGATTCATCTGACTCTGGATTAAGACAGGTGGCGAACCGTTTTGAACAGGATTCCTCCTGAAAATAAGTCTAGACGAGGTGTAAAGAATTGCTGCTACAGGTAACTGTGCTTGAGAAGAGGATGTTTTGTTTGTTAGGTTAGGTTTTCACGCAGGAATATCATGAAATACCCACATATTTATTCATATTCGTAATATACTGGGGTCTGATGAAGCTACTGGTTCTGTTGTTTGCACCGAGGAGGTGAGTAAAATATCTGACCAAGATAAAGAAGGTTAAGTAATTAGTGTAGCTTTCTGATGTGTTTCCTGGATTAGTGTCTGGAATCATATAATTCACATGGCCTATTCTTATTTAAAAAAATTCACATGAATATAAACGTTAAACATTTCAGTATGCAATACAAACATTGAGTAGCAAGTGATAATTCTGTAGGCCTAGTAATTTTGAAAGTAAGACGCTTGTTGACTGTTATCGTAACTTGTAAGTCAGCGGTACGAAATATATATAACAGTTGTAAAATGATTGCTTTATCAGTTTTAAGTCAACAGAGTTCAATCATAAAAATTCAACGTCGAACATATGTTTTGACAGACATTTTATGATGTTTCTCAGGACCATAGTGGAGATTCCATGCCGTGGAGCCCCGTTTGTAAACAATCAGTTTATGACGCTTAATGTATGGCCCAGGGGAATTATAAAAAGATACTTTTTCTACTGTTGGTCATATGAAAAGTATTTTAAGTATTCTCAATCTTAAGACGCCATCGATTAAAATACGCACCCTTAATTTATTAATAGGTTTTCAGAAGAAAAAAAAACAAGCTATATCGATCTAGACGCCATTATCTATACTATGGATCCCGATTTCAGAAATTTTAAAATAAGAAAAAGTGCTTCTTAAATTCGAGGAATTACAGTCATAATAATATTAATAAGAAACTAAATATGTAATTTTTACTCCATATTGCAACCGTTCAAGTTTAAATTTTAGATCATTTTGTGATACGTCAATTGAACCTATCGACTGTGAGAGTCTCACTTCTGTGTCTCAGACGATAATGTAATTTACCATTATGATCGACTTTCATGGTTCTCCTCCAGATGAATTCCAGTTTTGCTTCTCATTCATTACAAGCTCCGTTACCATTCAACGATGTTTTACTTTGATAGGAGAACTGTGATGTTTATTTGTATGTACAGATGTTATTATGATATCTGCAGTCGCTCTAACTTGTTGACAAGCGATGTTGGATGATAAAGTCGATATTAGCAAGAGAAATTTTAGCCATAATAAAATGTTCAAAGTGAAAATTTAAGCGTAGTATTGTCAGAATCCGCAGTAATATCTTCTTTAGGGTTTCTCTTGTTTCAGGGCAGTCGAACCGCATTTCTTGTGCACAAAATTCTAACGAAGACGAGGGACCCTGAGCTCAGGGAGGAGGTGCGTTTATATTTATAATTCTTGAAGCACTATTATATGAGTCACATGCGTGATATCTAGTTTTAAGAATAATGCGGCACATTTTACGTTTTGTCAAATACTCTTTTAATTTATACTTCAAGATATTTACCACGGAGTGTGTTACATCCAAGTTAATTTTGGAACTAAAAGAGTCTATCACATATAGCAGCACCCCTAGTTTACTAGTCCGACATGAGCCAGGAATCCACTCAAAATCTCTATCAATATAGTCAATTTCCGGCCGGTAATCGAACTGGATAATTTTCTGATATAATATATTTGCTGGACGTTCTTTTATAGTACTCTTAGCAACTGACAGCGTCGTTAAATACATAACAAGAGAAAATTGACAGTTTTCAACATAATATTGGCATAAGGAAAGTTAGTAGTTTCAATAGCCAGTGTATTTCACTTAAATTGGATCCAAGACATTTCCATATCACGTCCACATGGACTTCGAAAAGTCCTGGGAACAGTAAGCCATTACCATAAACGCTGTTCATATGTTAACGAAATTATCTTTTGATCTGTTTCAGCTACAGATATTTTCCCTTCAGTTGCTACATCGGAAGGTCCAGTTCACGGCCTGCGGGTTCTTCCCGCTTGACTTCTCACTGCTTTATTCGGTGAGAACAAGTAATAGAAATGCCATAAGAATATGTACAGTTGTATAAAAATATTTTAAAAGCTCGAAATACGCATGTAATTAATTAATTAAAGCGGCCTCAAGTTTTACGTCATATTGCATGTAGATCTGCAACATTAGTTCTGAACATCAATTTTTATTAAAATGTCAGAGAACGCAAAAATGTCCCTTAAAATAATGTAACTGTGTACAAAAGTTGAGACTGAACATGTGTAAGCCCTGTAAACTAAGTTTAATCGAAATCTAAGGACTCAGAATTGACCTATAGCCTATACGTAAAAATTACTATAGATCTTTAGGTAAAGTGGCCCTTCGAGTAAAGATTTATATTTAAGAGAATCAAATTCACACATGATAGTCCGACAATATAAGTGTTACATAAGTCAATCAAGTTTTATTAAAATCTACCTAATAACTCAAAACACGCGTCCTTTAAAAATTGGTTTTAAAATTGAACATTCGATGAGGTTAGTTCGGTCGCTTTTAATTGTAGGTATAAGGACGGACGGACGGACGGACATGACGCTTACAACATATGGTTTATGAAATACCTTTTCGGAATACACAACTATAGAAAACATTAAGATCTTTAACTTTCACTTTGAAGAAACAAACAAAAATTACGAATGCTTGTATGCGCGTGGTTCAGTGAAGTTTCCACACAAACTGTAGGCTTATGTTGCAGATCGTGGGAGCCGTGACAACGTACCTGGTTATACTGATTCAGTTCCAGTTGGCCGTGCCAAACACTAATCGGAACGAAACTACGTCTCATGGAAGGGGTACAGCGTAACGGCAGAGACATTCATGCTATAAATCAAGGGAAAGCAATCTGCGGCCGCATGTGGCCCGTCACATAATTTGGGAATCTGCCAGAGCGAGAAGGACATAAAGTTCTGCCGCTGAAAACATTGATTTCCGTCATTTGGAGCCCCCAACTTTAAAATCTCGTCTGTTCAGTTTTGAAAATGTGTTTATAGTTATGGTAACTACTCTGACATTTTTCAAATGAGTGACTGCTGAGGGGTCCGCAGTGGCCGCGCGGTCTGAGGCGTGGGCCTTGTGCCGCTTGGTCACTTTGGTCACTGGGACCGTGGGTTCGATTCCCACTCAAGCCATGGATGTTTGTTCGCTTGTTTCTGTGTTGTTCTGTCCTGTGTACAGGTAGAGGCCTTGCGACGGGCCGATCCCTCGTCCAAGGAGTCCTACCGAAAGTCTATAGATTAGTCAACGAAAAAGTTGGGACCCGCAGTGCTCAGGCACTTGAAGAACGGGTCGTCCCAGTATCCCGGTATTCCAGTGACTGCTGAGGTTGTGCACGTTACCTTGTCTGGACCCTGCCACATTTCCAAGGCTGAAATCTTTCCTAAGTTTTTTACTAAATAGGCCTTAAACGTCTGAATGTAGGTCTGGAATTTGGCACTTATATTTCATTTTAGAAAAGTCTAGGATTTGAATCCGGGACCAGAAATGATAAGTGTTGTGTAGCTTTAATTGGTTCCTTGGTGGGTAAAAACTCTGAGATATTACCTTAAAATAGACCGTCATCACTTCCTTGCCTGTCTTTCAAGTCACTCCACTGCTGAGCACTATGAAGTTGCACGCATGCTTTGCAGTTAACATTATGTCATTAAATAAAGCAGAAAAGGATATCTAAAGTGACTCTTATTTCTTACAGTGTGTACAAAGTAACTCTTCAAAGTCCTAATTCATCCAATTAATACTTAAGAATCCAGTTTTTATATTAAAGAACATGATATATTTTGACATTTCCATTACAATGATCAATTAGTTAATGTTATTTCAGGAAATAATGCTTGTTTATTTTGGAAATCATTTGATAAGCATACAGTGTGCACAAAATAATGAATTGGATTATGTTTAAAGCAGGTGGCATGTAGGCTGTTATAGCTACCAGCACATATAACCAGACTATTACTGTTACATATAGTGGCAAAATAATTTTGTACACATATTTTTCATATAGTTCTGGGATAAGTAATTTAAAGCTGTCCCCCAGTATGACATATTGTAAAGTAGTTTTTAGACAATTTTAAAGTACATGCACCCACTATTCTCAATTAATTCTGTCAGGAAACACAAAGGAAGGGTTATCTATTGTGACGAATTATTTAAGAAAATTAATATTCTCGCCCCTACTAGCAAATAATCTCATTACAGTCATTCACTGTGAAAACATTTCAATTCAATTTAGGAATGGGGGAAGTGGGGGGTAATGTAAGGTAATGTCGCCACCCGAATTATCTTTCGAACAATTTGAACTGAGCGCGCTCTGTTGACACTGACATCTCTGGTGACCTCACAGAAACAGTCTTGAGCTATTATGGCGTCTGACGTTGTTGATGTATGTTTGTGGTAAAGAAAAATCTAATTGTAGGCACGTCTCTTCTAAGTTTTAAAGTTAACAGATTGCACGGTAAGTGTAAGTTGGTGTTCTTAGTTCTTAGAACAAATGATAATATTTGAAAGTACAAATATGTATGTCTAGTCTTCTGAATCTGCAGTCTTGTAGCATGATGGGTTCAGGAGGGGACAAATAATGTGTTATGTTAAGTACGTCTGGGGTAATGGCAGTTTATTGTGCGGCATTGCCCCAATATCAGGCAGTGTGAGGGCATAAAGCATTTATCAGCCCCTGCTTATGATCTGTTAAGCTGATTCTGTAGTTGATTTTATCTAGGAAACATACTATGAGTTCCCCATGTGATTAGAGCTGTCACAATTTTCTTTTCTCTGTACGTATCCTTTTAAATTATCCTGAATTATTAGGATACAACATGCTTCCAACAGTTCGTTGCAACCAAATGAGCTGTCTCTGCTGAATGAAATACGTAGCTCCGTATTGATAGGTTTCAGTGAGCGAGGATCTTGACAATTAGAGACTTTCCTGTGAGTTCAAATAAGTCTGTTAGCTGTAGGTAGTTGACAATGTCGTAAGAAGCCAATCAGAGTACTCGTCTCGGCAGGCTTCGGCGACGTTCAAGGCATTGTTGCTCGATATCCGTGGTTACGTTTATCTCTCGACAATAAACAATATTGTTTTGGATGGTGATACAGGTTGGAGTACATCATAATTTTAGGTTCTGTGATGGATGCGAACATTCACCTAGGACTGCGTCGCTTCCCAGAAGATAATCGTTATGTTGTAAGAACTGTTTTGCTGTAATATTTTTATGTTTTATTTATTGATTGTTTTACTATGTTTCTATTAATTTTTATCTTTTGCCATGTTCTTATAATGCTTATTTGTAAACAGTGTTTACATTTTATAGACTTCGTGTTTAAGGTCAAAAACGTTAACAGGCGATGGCCTTGGAATGAATTAGGCCTTAAATATGTATCTCACAAATTTAAAAAAACGAACTAATTAAATTCGTTATGTGGGAATTCGCTGTACAGGAAAACAACACTAAATACCGAAAATTTGTAATTGATCCATTCTATCCAGGCAAATTCCAGGAAACTCCTTAAAATAACCTATGAGAAATACCCTGCAAGTCTTTGAACTTTGAAGATTTGTATTAATCTTCCTATCTACATGACTTCTGCAATTATCACAGCATTGTTAAATGAACCAAGAATCCATCATTTATGCATCTTTACCTATGACTACACAGAGGCAATTTGTGACTTGTGTCTTATGCTGTCCAGTCCAAAGTCAGTCACACTTTCTTGATTCTGCCTGTCTGGAGGAGTTTTACTGATAACTGCAATGTTTTTAAAGTATAAATTGTGTATTTTTTTATTTCCACAGGATGATGGTGCATACACAAGGCGCAGTAGCAGCCCTTCAGACAGTGCCAACCAACAGTAAGTATCTTCAGGCTTTTTGTTATACTCTGTGTTTAATATTGAAATATATAACACTATTACTCTATTTATGTGAGTGTGAAACTTGATGTCTTGCCGTGAGTGAACAGCAGAGTTTAGAAACAAACTGGTGTAGCCATTCTTGTTGATAAAATAAGACAGAAAAATGGTCATCTCCCAAAAAATTTTATTTCATAAATATAAAAATAATTAAGATGAAGGTTTGTATGATGATAGAATATGTATCTGTACATATGTTTTTCTTGTATAGCAAGGTTGTAATGAAGACTTTGTATTACTCATGAATCTTTAGAAGTCATACTGGTACCAGAATTTAGAACTACCTTAATTTCCATCTTTATATTTCTAGTTTTGTATCAGTATTAAATGAAGGAATGTGGATTTGAAGATCTGTAGTCCTAGCTTACTTCAGTGTTTGTGCCAAATCCCATAATTGGGGTCTGTTTTGTATAATATGTCAGTGAACACAGAATATTAGAACTTGTATGAAGCTCACAGTTATACCGTAATTTTTGTGATGAATCATAAGATGATTGACATGATTCCCATGATCTCACATCCAGTTTTTGGATGTGTGCAAAACAGTGGAATAATACAAATGAATTTTTTAAATGTATATTACAACCTCTTTATGTCAAAATAAGAGAAAATTCTATAACATTGCTAACTTAATAATAGGGTTGGGTATTTTGGCCAGGCTGATTAGAAATAAATGGTAGATGATAAACGTTTGGTAATGAATTTGAGGAAATGACTTTTCTGTGGTCTGTATTGAATAATACTTTATGACAGATTTTAAGTGATAATCTGAAAAGTTCAGAACCACATGCTATATTAGAAGGTACAATTTTAAGTGGACATAGGAAACATGAATGAAGACCAGGTCAGTGCTGATACGAATATTTGAGCATAGGAGAGATTAAATATTGGGAGATTGGGTGATGATCAGATGAGATTACATGATGAGGATCTTTATTAGTTTAATAGTGTTAATGTGAAATACATTGGTCCTACAGTATGTGTGGCAGAAACAACATTTTTGTATAAAACCTGAAGGGAAGAAATTATTTAGGAAATATGAAGTTACAACAGCAATAATAAAGTACTTCTTTGGAAGCTAATAGTATATGTAGCTTGTCAATAAATTGGCTACGTTTTATGGAAGCTGAGGGTTAAGCACCCTCACAAGAGACTGCCACAGGTTTTTATTCTGATCCAGATGAATCCAGTCCACACCCTCTGAACTTGTTCCTAAAGATCCTTTTTAATTTTATCCTCTCACCTGTGACCAGGACTTACAGATGGTTTTGTTTTCTTCAGGATGATGATGATAATTATAACAAGGATAACATTGAAATGGACATCAGAGAGATGTGTTATGAACTGGATTGAGCATTTGCTTGTTTATTTATTTATTCATTTGGTATGTATGCCTTTAACAAATTATGAAATATATTAAATTTTTTGTTATAGGACTAGATGGAATGCCGTCTTGAAGCGGAGAATTGCACGCTTGGATTTCACGTGCTTCTTATGTGCCATCTTATATCACACCAAAAATGCTTCTCTATTTTCTCTCCCACTTCCACTCATGGTGTTAGTGTGGGGAACAATGAGGGAAACCAGACCAGGTCTGATCTTCTGGGGTATCATCATCGTATACACTGCGGTTAGTATTGAAATCATTATGTGAAATGTGGTCTATGAACTACGGAGGTAGCAGATCATGGTCTTATCATTGCAAATCCAGCTTCATCTTGGCCAGAGGTTTCCATTCCAAATCTTGATTGGGTTTTTTTCTTTCTTAACTCCCCCCCCCAAATTCTTTCCTGACAAATATTGGGATTTTATATGAGTGAAAGAAACGTGTAGTTTAATTGTGTTTTATCATGTACATGACTTATATGAATATTATTAAGACATTTTCCTGGCTGAAATTTGGAATAGGTTTAGTATGTAAGATTTGAGGTTTTCACAGCAGTGAGTATGAAGATTTCTGTCTTCTGGGTTGTTGCACCATGTAGTCTAGTAGAAGTTTGCCAACATTTCAGTGGTGATTGCTGCCTGATGATGGAGGCAGCAAGAACCTCTGAAATACTGGTAAACTTCTACCAGGTTACATGGCGCTACAACCCAGACAACAGCCATCAACAACATGGTGGCTGCATGATATATGTATTTAGCATTTGATTTCAGTTTGATAACAAATAGGCCTTTGGAGCTGCTTGTGTGAAATTTGGTATGGATATGGTTAATGTATGTACACTCAAATTGTGTATAGAATGATGATTATAAGTTAGTCATTACAAATATCACTGTGAAGTATAAAATGTAACATGTCAATATTTGTAACATTGATAAAACCCATGCGTAAGTAATTAGTACTTTCTAGAGAGAAAATACTGTAACTAGCTGCTGCTTCTGCTGCTAAACTGCATTGCATTGTATTACTAAAATGTGGCATAACTAGCTAACTAGATGGCTTACTGAACGCGAATGTTCATCACCAAATTAACCAAAGCCCTCCACTGGACTCTGTTAAAATATGGCATAAGACAAGAATTATATGATTGGATGTGTGTGCGTAAATTCTACTCAAAATTTCATGATTCTGATACATATTTTATTTTTAAAATGTGTATCAAGATCTTTGGATGATTGGTGTTAAAGAACCATAAGTGTTGTCTGAGTGTGCTCTGTATTTTATTCTTTTTGTGCAGATTGTGGTTATAGTAAGTTGGCTGTTGAAACTACAATTATTCTCCTTGGATGACATAAATCTATGGTTCCCAGCAGATGCAATTGATCTCAAGTTGGACATTCCTAGTATGATTTTTGATATGACACTTCTCCTTCTTCTCATCTTTCTCAGGTATTTGTGTTGCTCTAATATTATTGTTTAAAGTGCTGGTACTTATAATTAAGAACGTGAATATTTTATTTACACTTTCTTGGTCTGAATGGATTTGGTTTCCTTCCTGTCTCCTGTTGATATGTTGAAGATTCATATGTGAGGAATTGATTCAATCATGTTCTGGCTTGTTTTTTAATTATGTATGTGTCTTCATGTGAAATAACAAGAAAGAAATACAGAGGATTCTGGTTGATTGGGACTCGTCAGGACTAGAACACTGGCCCAATTAAGCTGCTGCCCTAATTCTGCGAAGTTTCACGTAAAGAGTTAAAAAGGTTTAAAAGGAAAGACAAACTCCCGTTTGTTGATATGATTTATTGAGCAACATACTGTAAGTGAATTCTGGAACAAATGGTACAGATCAGAGAAAAATATTTATGCTAAAAACAATTTTAATTTAATGTATGTATGAAACATGCATTCACGTAGTTCTTAACAGTTAATGATGTTGGAGGAATTTATCGAGTGTACCCTGCTGTGCTCTCTTGATTGACTGCAACTAAACAAAATCAGCGCAGGTATGATGACTCACTGACTCCTCCATGCCACACACCACAAGTGTGCAATCTAGCACTCACTGTCCCTATTAAACAGCATGGTGTCTGAAATAAGTGAAGCAAATTCCGATTATTTTCTCGATTTGTTATTGTCCTTTAAGATTTGTGCCAAATAAATGGTTGCCCCAATTAACCGATGACCCATTTAACCAGAATTTACTGTATATTTTGTGAAATGTTGGTGTAACACTTTGGTTGCAGTTTGTTTTAGCAGGATTGGGAGAGAGTTTACTAACCTTTGCTTTAGTACAGTAGTTCTCTTCCCTTATTACTTTATAATTTGTGCAGGTGTTTGGTGAAATATCTGGAAAATGGTATTCACTTTGAAGACAATAGTGTAGAAGAGGATAATGATGAAAATATGAGGAGTGACGTTCCTGCATCATCACCAGAGGTGAGAATCATATCTGAATACCTTGAGTTATATTTTATTTCTTTCGTTAATTGTATTAGCCATAGAAATTAACAAGTACCACACAGATGATCTCCTTTCAGCAGTTAAGGAATTTACTGTCACAGTGCCCTTTTTTAACATATTCGACAAAAGGATCCACTAATAAGAATCCCTTATGTGTGCCTTTGGAATGTGGGTATTTTCATCCTCTGGGAAGAAAGAATTAAGGATTTGGTGCAGAAAGTTTAAATTCTGTTTAATGAAAGTGTCTTACACTTAAAAAATTAATAATATGTAGGCATTTCTCTTCTTTCTGTGGTTTTCATACTTGTTCTTAATATTGTTACATGATTAATACCTAGGTAAAACTTAATGAGGCAGAATATATATTTGATGTTCAAGGTTTTCACAGTGATTAAAATGTCTTTTGTGTTTGTCATTTGGTTTGTGACACCATGGCCTGCAAGACTATGTGGCATAACAGCCAGAAAAACCATAATCAACAGAGAATACGAATGAGGTGGTTGTTTCCAAAAATTAACGCAAATGTGGGTTAGAGAACTTGTAGAAGTAGCGGTCAAGGAAATGGGGGGGGGGGGCGCATATACTGTCCATACTATAAACATTATTTCCTAGCGGCAGTACTTTGTAGCTTGCTGCCTCATGTACTATGTTAGTAATGTCTTTGGTTCACATAGTGTGAGTGTTTGTTGTCCTTCTGCCCACAAGCTAGTGATATAGGCAAAGTGCAAAGTTTAATCCTGGGTACAGTACATGGCTGCCAGCTGGATTTTGGTTCCAGGTTTAATGGTTTAGTGTCTGCTTTTGCAATGCACAGATATTTTAATCATGTATAAGATGTATCATACAGACAGTAAAGGCTAATAGAAGTGTGTCTCACATGGTACCTAGGTAGAATAAGTACTGGTAATTCCTCTTCATAATTTGGGAATCCTATATTTGCATTAGGCTGCCAGAAAAGAAGGATAACAACATCTAAGTTATTAGTTTTGTATTGAAAAACTGATTGTAATATATGTTGTACACTTACAGAACTCCCTAGCTGACCATTCTACCATGTCACCTGAAGATGATGGCGAATCTAATGACGTCGATGTAACTGAAAAAAATTATGTTATTATGACGTATGTACATTAAGCTCACGTATACTGTACTATATGTATGATTTTATTAGATTATATTTCTAGACTTACCAGTATCTGATCTTTGCTTTGATTCTTACTTTATATAGGGTTTAGGATTTACAAGAGTCCCTAGTCTATTGTTACCCTCTGATTCAGCTTTGAATTTGCTTTATGGCAGTGGACATTCTTCTGACTTCCTTCTGCCATAATTGCAGGCTGACTGACAGGCAAATGATTATATCTAAATTGTTTCCTGTGCTGGGCGTTGCCCCAACAAAGTGGAATTTTCTAAACAATCAAACACACAAACTTTGTGGGAGAGACTGTTGTTATGAAGGATAAAACAAACCCTTGCATATGAATATGAATGCTATTGGTCAGATTGTCAATGAGACATTTTGAAAAGGTGTTACATAACAACAACAACATTAATAATAATAATAATAATAACTTTTAGTATATGTACCGCTGAAGCGAGTACTAATAATAATGTGCTGGCAAAGAGCAATATATACAACGACATGATCGTGTCTGTACTCAGTTACATTTTAACATATGCAGGAAAACTGGGGTAAAGCTAGAAAAGACGCACTGGTATGAACACATCCCAAAGGCAGTGGAGACAAGTCAAGATAGCCAAATAACTATTTTGTGGAACCAGCAAATCAGAACAGATAGAACCATCCCAAATAATAAACCAGACATAATAATCAGAAACAAAAATGGAACTTGCCTCTTAATTGACATAGCAATACCGACTGACAGAAATGTGATTAAGAAGGAAGCAGAGAAGATATTGAAGTACAAGGACCTTCTCATAGAAATACAGAGAATGTGGAAGGTTCAAGCAAAAGTAATTCCAATAGTTATAGGAGCAACAGGAACTGTCTCCAGGTCACTCAGGAAATATTTGGCCAATATCCCGGGCGAACACGACATCAGGGAACTGCAGAAGACAGCCATTTTGGGAACCTCAAACATTATCCGAAAGACGTCATAAAATAAAATTATATAATACACGTAGCACTTGCTAATAACAATATGTATCCTGGAAATAGCTGCTGCCCCATGTACCTTAGGGACAAGGTCTGTCTCGGGTACATAGAAGTACATACCCCATAAAGTGGTGAATAGATGGGATAATAATGTTAATTTTGGTAAACAGAAAGAAGAAAAAAGTGAATAAATGCAGACTTAAAAATAAATTAAATTTGATGATCTCCATGGCCGTGTTATGCATGGTTATAGAAAAAAATAAATCAACTTGAGAATGGAACATGGGTTGGCTACACCATAAGAAAGCACGCATGAATGCTACCACCTGAGCTTTTGCTGACAATGTGATAGTGCAACCCTTTACGAGATAGTGCAAAATAAGTCTGCATTGTCCAAAGAAATGGTCTTTGTCAAAGATTTTTGTAGTCTCTGTGGGTTCCACAACAGGTAGCGAATTTCTTCACTAGCTGAGAATATTATTTCCTTCTCAAGGACTCTGCTCCATGGAGTTTGGCATTTACACTTTAGTTTGAGGGAAAGACATAAATTACATTCACTACAAGTGAAATGCTCAAAACAACATTTGTGCTTAACTAAGGCAAAGTAAGTGAGCCATTTAGGATGTGTAATAATGACGATTGTAATTTATACAAGTCACCATGAAATGTAGGAGACTACAGTTTCTAGCATGTAGCTGGGATTGGGAGACAATGAATATGTTCTGATATTTGGTGAATACAATTAAAAAGTGTTAGCTAGATGTGTTAGTTTTCTAGCAGAAAAGTCAGTTTAAATTTCAGTATTTTTGACATAGAATAGAAACTTCATTTCATTTTTATTTCATGTTAGGCATTTCTTTGTTGCCAAATCACTGAAGGCTGATATAGCTAAAACAGCTAATTCACTTATAAACCCACTGGCATTTAGCGCTTTTATAATTCAGTAAGGTGCTTAGGACTTCAGTAATTGTGTTTATTTTGTCAGATATCTTGCCTTATAAATCTAATATGTTTAGATCCATGAACACTACAATTCCAAACTGGGTACAGCTATCATTCAAGCCGCCCTGATATAATTACCGTAATGGCCTGCAATCAGTGAAATTATTTTTCAGAATGAAATGGTTTTCTGATTACAGATTGATCAAGAAATGCTTCTGCAGAGTTCAGAAGTTCATATATGGTTTCATCAATAAGCCAACACACCCTGGAGTTGATGTTTACAAGTATCTGTTTCTCTGTGATATCATCAACTTTGTACTTATCATATTTGCATTCAGAGCATTTGGGGTGAGTTTATAATTACAGTTTAGTTTTGAATAACAATTGCTTTCATATAATTCTACCAGGGATAGAACCATGTGTGGCCCTTTCAAATTATAATATGCTGTAAAAAGTTAAACAAAGTATTGAATAATTACAAAGGCTGCCAGGTGACTTAAAGTCTGGGGATGGTTTAGCGGTATGCTTCTGCAACACATTGCCAGATGGTCACAGTGCATTAAGAAATTCCTATACACATCAGTAGTAAGATCTCACTTTAATTTTGTAACATATTTCTTCAGTAATTAAGTATCTTGAAAACTTCCCTGAGGAAGCAATATGAAGAACAAGCTGATTGGAAAAGTGTATTGGTTTACTTAGTGATATAGGCTGTAGTATAAAAGGTACTGATATTGGCATCAGTGTTAAACTGAGATTTTTTTGCCATGATACAGAATCATGTGGTCTCTAAAGTACAAGGGCCTGGCTGACCAAAACTTCAGATGCATATCTCCTCTGTCCTGTGCATGCTGCATGCCCGCCCATAAACATTCTTGATTTTATCATCTTTATAATAACTGAAATGTAGTAATTATGAAGTTCCTTGTTATGTAATTTACATTATCTTGTTCCTTTCTCCCTTTTAGGTCCAAATATTGTCCTCAAAGCACTGTTCTTAAACACTATCAATCTTTGTTCTTTTTAAATATGGTAATTTTTCATTTCTTTGCAAGTTAAATTACATTTTGTATACAGTATTTTAATCTTTGTGTATTAAATAGCAGTTTATTTTTATTACTATGCAGAATGCATATTGAAATATATTCTTTAACATTTATGAACAAAAGTAGGAGATTTAAACCCTATATATGGGACTGCTGGTTGGACTTTAACCAGAGCTGTGGAGTCAGTACTAAAACCTCTGACTCCTTCATAAAAGCTCAATATGTATTAATTATGGTAAACCTACTAAAATGGTAAATGGTACCATAAGAGATTTCATCACCACCACGTGAATCATCAGACTGCTTTTTAGACTTATAACCTATATTTAAATATAAGTCTAATGGTTATTGCAGAAATTGGTTGATTTGTAGACAGTTTGTATTATTAAGGTACAGGAGCCAAAGTTACAAAGCATTATTCCCAGGTCTTGTGGCTCAAGGCGTTATTGAATCTCCCTAAGCATGAGGCTGCCGGCGGCTCACACGGTAGTGTAAGTGTTCTTAAGATTTTATATTGAGGTCAGAGTCAGTAAAATTTTACCAACTTCGACTCCACCTAAAATTGCTTCCGACTCCACAGCTCTTGACTTTAACTATGGGGCCGTTGGATTAGCAGTATGTTAGTGGATTGCTTGGTGAACTGGGTCACATGTAAAGTGGAGACAATAAAAGTTAAATATTTACTTCTTAACTTTTGTTTTGTTTTCCAGTCAGATGTTATTGGAGAGACACAAATAACAGAACAAATAGTAGAAAATAAGGTGCCAACACGATTCCTAGTGTTATTGATACTGCAGTTCACGTTGATCATTGTGGATCGAGCACTGTACCTATGCAGATGTATTGCAGGAAAAGTAATTTTATACTACTGCCTCATTTTTGGAGTGCATATAGGAATGTTTTTCTTACTTCCTTCTACCACTGAGAGGTAAGTACCTTACAATTAGGAATTTTTCTCTGCATATGCAGTATTGTTTGAGAAGTGCCTGTGTACTGTGTAGAATGTGCTTATAAAATATATCTTGCATATTGATAGAACTGACATTATTAAATAGTGCAGGGGTCATCAACCTTTTTATACCTACCGCCCACTTTTGTATTGTAACGATTATATTATGGATAGGTTTAGTCCTACTAATGTTGGTACCATGGCTTGGAATGGAGCAAGGCAAGTTCACAAGGATGCTGTTGTCGGCTTAAACGTACTTAGCTGATATGATATTTCTTCGATGAAGGTACAGCTGGTTCCCTAAGTCTATACACCATTTATTTGTAACACTAAGTACTACATAAATTTTACATTTGTGTTAAACATTACATTCCTAACGCAAGCTAGTTCACTTTATCTCAACAACACTCTGGTTACGTAAATTTTGAATATTTAATAATCTACCCGTGCTATACTTGGAGTCATCGCCTCAGCGCTTACCTGTTATCAATAGCCTGATCAGTGTCCCCTTGCCCATGGCTTCGGTGACCTCCTTCTATCTTCAAAGTTCCGGCCGTTCTGCTTGCGATCTATCTCCCATTTTTCTCGTCAACTGTTCGTTCGTGTTTTCCCATACTTATGCTGACTGCCTAATGGCTACATCTGCATTTCCAGTTAATTTTTCTTTCTCATCCCCTTAGAGAAAGGTGAGCTAGCCTTGCTACTTTAGTCAATGCCAGCAAATGACATCAACACATTCCTACATTCAAATGTCTACTATACGTAATTCTATGTAACTTCAAATCTCTACATTCCTAATTTACAATATGTTAACTAAAATTAATTCACTATAGTATATTTGTTGATGGTAAAATTTCCTTACTGCCCACCACCATGAAAGAGGTACAGCTCAAAGTCAGTGATGGCCGGTTGTAAGCCCCGCCCTCGTTATGCGCACTAAACTCGTGCCTTTGGCTACAGAGCTCATTCGTTGCTCCCTCGTCCACGAGTATACTTCGAGAAGTGTCCGGTGAATTATTATCTATATTAAAAGTTTAGAGATGGAATTCAAAAATAAATTGCAAAAGCACATTTTAAAAAGTCAAACTCGCGAAGTTGTTAGCAGTGTATTCGATATATGGAGGAAGAACAAAATTTGTAACAACGGACAAAACCCCCACCGCCCACCATGAAAGCTTGAATTGCCCACTAGGGACCAGGTTGACGACCCCTGAAATAGTGGGTCACGGAAAAAGTAAGACTATTTTAAGGATTATATTCAATAAAATATTTGACTTAGAAAGTAATTATTCTCTCTCTATTTTACCAAAATAAAGAACTGCTTTTACAGTGATTACATTAAAGTTTATTGGACATAGTTTGTAAGCTTCAGGAGTTCTTCACATATTTTAAAAAGTCTGTTTTTAAGGCAATACTTTCATTTAATATAAATTTTAAAATGTGAGTTTTCTCTCTTTCCCCTGATGTGATACATCTGTTGCAGGAAGTTTAATACACAATGGACACTGCAAATATGGTACTTGGTGAAGTGTTTCTGGTTTCTACTGTCAGCGTATCAGATCCGAAAGGGTTACCCCACCTACGTCTTTGGAAAAGCTATCTGCAGTAGACATGGTTTATTCAACTTTGTCCTCGTCAAAGGGTAACATATAATCATTGTACCTTCTGTATGTGTGTGAGAGAAGAAGGAGGCAGAGTTGTTTTATTGATTGATTCTTAGATTATTTAGCTTTATCAGTTATAAAGGCAAGTCTCATTATATGTGATTTCACTGTTCATGCTTTTGCATGTATATGGTTTTATTCCAGTATTGTGAAGAGCATCAATATCCTTTCTGTGACCATGGTAGGTGTTGCCATGCAGGCCCACTGAGTTGTGTGCACAGTTCACTGACTCGCCCCATCATTTTGACTCCAGAGGCTACAAGTAAAGGCCTTTCATGGAGTGTCACTTAGAAAATCCATATACATATTTTATATTTCCTATTTTAAGCATTTTTTATATACATGGCAGTTCACAGAAACACAACCCCCACATATAATGAGTCACCTGTAGCACTGGTATGATGACTGCCTTTGTTAAATTTGATGAGATGCAGATGGTTTATGTTAAACATATTATCCAGACATTTACCTGGAAGAACTGAGGAGAATCTTGAAACGTCTGTGAGCTGATTGAAATCTAAGACCTCCCAAATGTCAAGCAGGATTGTTAACTGTGGCATTTGGTTTAGGGAGTTCTTTGTTTTTTTAGGATGTATGAACTATCAAGTTATGTAGTTCAAATAGATACTTTAGGTTGACTTTGAGTGATGAATGGGGATAGCCATGGGACAGTGAAGATACTATCCCAGCATTTTCCTGGAGGGACTGACAAAAATCATTAACATCTCAGTAAGATACTTGGCAAATGTAAATCAGATGCACTATGCTAATCTGCTCGGTATAGGGGATACTTTGTATGTATAAGGGATATTCCATACAGCAAGTCTGTAATTCACACATATTGATGCATGTAGCAACCAATAATGTTAGCTGTGTGGGTAAGTAGTGCAGGTTTACATGTTCAGTAGGCCTGAACATATATTTATTGCAGAACTGCAGTCAAAGTTTAAATTTTTTAAGGTGATGGCACATTCCACATTATATATATAAATATATATGTGTGTGTGTGTGTGTAAGTGAAAATTGAATTAAGAAAAACAAAATATTAGTAAAATTGAGGTAGTAGAAATTAAATATTTAGAAAGATTTTTCTCTGCACTGTTATCAGACAACTTCTCTTAAAATGAGAGGCCCAGTTTCACACCAATATAGCAACAGGTGCAATTATAGTTTTGTATTGTATGCAGTGGTACAGCATTGTAAAATAACCAAAACTGAAGTTAGTAAGTGAGATTTGTGTGAATTGTGTTACAGATTCATGTTGGTACCTTTTTTGTTTGAATTGCGGACAGTATTGGACTGGCTGTGCAGTGATACATCACTGTTGGTGTTTGAATGGCTGAAGATGGAGCACATTTTCTACACTGCGTTCCATGTTAAATGTTTACGAGATACAAATGAACAATTTTCAAGTCTTCGAGGACCGCCAAAAAAACCACCCCTCGAACTCTTCATTGCGTGTGGTATTCTCCTGCTTGTCATTGGTGCTATATGGTTTCCAATGATTTTGTTCAGCTTTTCAATGTATGGAAATGATTTGCCTTCTGAAGCCAACGTCACCATGGAGATTAATAGTTATCCGCCCATTTACACAATGTCTGCCCAGAGCGACAACATTATGAGGTATACTCGGTGAAAGTTTTTTTAATGAGTAGAATTTTCATATTCATTAACTAAACACTTCTATATTATTCAGTATATGTTAGCAGTTTTTGCTGTGCAGAATGAACTTATTTATTTAGATTGCGCTCTTCTGATGCTGAATAATATGTCATTTAACGTGTAGAGCTGGATAAAGGTGGTTGTTGGTTCCATTTTGTAGATGATTCAGTGTAGGATGTAGAGCTGTCATTTTGCTGAACTTGCTTGGGAAACGCCTGTGCTTCAAATGCTGGCTTTTGTCTGTCAACATAACAGATTTTTCAGGGTTTACATCGTAATGTACATGCGATTCATAGAGTACTGAACCTCATATCTGGCATCCAGAAATTCAGTTGTTGTTTTTTTAAACCAGCCAGTTGGAGGCGTGACTAGAGTAGTGTGCCAGCTGACAATTTTGCATGAATGACATATCTCCTCATCTCAAACCTTTAATTGTCTGATTATTTCTCCATGATTACTGTGGTTTCTTACTCTTAATTTTTATGAGGTGCATGTATAAAAGGCCTTATTTTATGGTTTTCATATGTCTAAAAAAAAAGGTCATGCAGACTTCAGAAGTTTAGTTATTGATAATGATTTAGTAAATAACAAAAAATTATTCCATGCTTTGATTTTCATACTTTATCTTGTATTTTATGTGCATGCTAGGCTTGGGATCAGAAATTTGGCTTGGTTTTTGTCCTAAGCTTCCTGGATGAGAGGTCCAGTACCTATAGTAAAGTTTTTTCCCCCCTCATAACCTATACTTTTGACATAACATCATCATAAATAGTAAGATACCTTAATGAATACAGATGATGTAATAGTATTTAGTAAGGACTGTCCTTAAAATGCTGTAATGAAGAAAAGTGTGATAGTTGGGTTGTCTGGTTGATAATACTTCCAATTACAGGTAACCCTCGATTTGTGCCGCTTCAATTTGCACCGATTCAGAATAACGCCGCTTTTGAAACCAGCAAGTCAAAAAATGAAGAAAAAATATTTTACTATTATTTATAACGTTTTACAATGTTTCTCGTACCGATTCTTATACTAAATCTTAATTCTTACATCCCTGATTTTGAATAACAATTATAAATACAGTCACCTCTGCACTCATTGCTAAGTAGTTGAGAGATAATCTCCTAAAAATCTGCCAACATTGAGCAACAGTCACGTGAGCATTGGTCACCCTTCATGGTGAGTCATTGGCGTTCAGCCTGATAAGGGAGTAAGGAAAAATGTGCTCAGTTCACTTCTTGTTGACACATTGAATGTGCTGAAAACTGTGTGCTAATCGTGTTCGTGTTGTTTGACCACTATTCTGCAGTAGCAACTGTTTTATATTTATAAATTGTAGAAGAGCCACCATGTCTGGTAAGAGAAGTGAATGTGTTGCTAAAAAGTTGAGTAGGTCTATTGCGTTAGAAGATAAGATGGACGTAATTCATAGAATAGAAGGTGGTGATAGCCGTTGTAATGTGTGCAGAAGTATGAGGTTGCCTCCTTCCACTGTGACTACCATAATGAAAAATTCATATAAAATAAAACAGTCAATGCAACAGGCTACGAGAGTAAGTGCAACGCATTGAGTATAGCAGAAGTAAACTTTTAGAAAGAATGGAGAAATTAGTGTTGCTGTGGGTGGATGACATGAATTGAAAAAACATTCCCTTGACTGAAATTGCTGTCAATTTTTGAGGAACTTAAGTCGTCAATGTTCAGGTGCTGGGAATGCATGTCATTGACTTCCCATTGATTTAAATTATAAAAAGGGTTTCAATTTACGCCAGTTCGTCCAGGAACACATCCCCGGCGTATATCGAGGGTTACCTGTATTTCAGTTTAAAATCATGATCTTCATGCTGTCATAGTTGTGGGTGATGATTTTAGGGTTCAAACTGACTTTTGACTGAAAGTTTCACAATATGGACCGTGTTGTTATGTAACTGGACCATCTGGCAAAATACATTTGCATATCTGGAGGTCCAGTTGTAAGCATAATGTTCTGTGGTACTGTTATGATTGGGTTATTATTGTAATTATTTTTCAGCATGGCTGCCAGGATATACAGCAAAATGCACACTACTTACATGAAGAATGAGAAAGTCACGGCATTTCTGAAGTCATACTCAAATGCAGATATTGCAATAATTAAGCTTGGCACTGTATCGGATTCAAGTTGGGAAGTCACTGAACAACAGAAATGGGATCTTATTGACAAACTTCAGTCCAGTATGTAATGTATAACCTTCAGTATTATTACACACACACACACACACACACTTAATGTTGTAGTGTAAAGATTAGTTACATTCTTGAGGACTGCAGTTTAAGTCTCTGGCAGGAGACCAACTTCACTTAGTGTAGTTTCTCTTGTGTTTCTTAGATTCCAATCAAATTCTACAGTAGGTCCCTCAGTTAGTCATAACTGCTTTATCATTCTCAGTTTACTATTCATATTTGTCTTCTAATTTTTATATTATGTATGAAGTAAGTATCATTTGGGATATCACAGTGGCTAGTAACAGACTGTATGTCAAGATTTGATTCCTGACAGGAGGCGTGATTTTTCTATTTACCTCCATATTCAGTCTAGTTCTGGGAAAAACAGGGCAGGTACTATGTGCTTATCCTGGTGGCAGTGCAGCCAAACCATGTAGCTGACTCACCTCAATCTACTTCTATAATTCATACAGCTTTACATTTGTGTTCTCTGTATCCATTCATGCATTAGGAACGTCTGGACCTTTACTATAACCCTCACAGACCTAAGCAAAGAGTGATGGTTTTCTGGGGAAACACCCATCTCCTCTTTTGATCTTTAGCGTACTTTTGTGGCATTCAGCATTAAAATTAACTTTAAAGGTTCCATATTATGTTTTGTATTTAAGTTAATAAAAAGTATGTAAATAACCTTTTAACCAACTTGTATTTGATGAAAGACTCCTAGGTTATAAGCTGCGTCAGGTGGCTGAATGCTGAATAAACCATATTTTCTGCTGTTTTGAAAACAATCTCTGCTCTCATCCTTAGGGCTGCTTGGTAACTAGTCAGATCCTTTGTTACGTGCTCACTGCTGGGAACTTCCAGCAGCCATCTGTCGTGTCTTGTAATCCGGGAGTCTTTCATCAACTTCACTTGCCACGAAAGCTTCATTTTATACATCAACTTTTATTTGTTAATACTGAGAGTAACATTGATGTTCTTGCAGAGCATAGTCCTAACTAAGAATGTTATGGTGTGACCATAAATAATGTTCTGTCTCACTTGGTTGTGCAGTTCAGGTTGGAAGTCAGAAATAAAACTGTCTATATTAATTTCATGCTATTTTGTGATACCTACAGATGCGTCAGTTAACATAAACTTAAAATGGTCTTTGTCCTGGGAGGAGCTAGGAGAAGAAAAAGTGATGTCAGCTAGTGGCAAGCATGTACATGTCTTGGAAGCTGAAGTTGATGGAAAACCTAACCCAGAACGGGTGGAGCTATTGAATCTTTTAAAGGGAGAGCAGCATTCAGCACTTATATTCAATATGTTTCCCAAGTTTATCAGGTTCTCAAATCATGGGAAAGCTCCTGTTGTGCGTCATTTCATGGATAAAATTCGTAAGTTTGGTCTCTTACTTAAATTAAGTGTGTTTAAAACAAAGAACTCAAGGATTTTCTTGGATGTAACCACCCTACAATCATGCTTTTCTATTTTCTATGATCAGAAATAACATAATGGGAGATAAACAAACTTGTGAATTGGGGGTCAACACTAGCACCACTTGCACTTTATTATCTTTTATGAACACACCTCATATTTTCTATTTGCAGAATCTGATGATGACAGAGCATACAGAAATGTGTCACTGCATCTGCATTACAAAGGAGGTAACTCCAGCAGTTGGTGGGATGTGAGAGAGTTGTGCAATGATGACAATTTTGACAATTACATTAAGAAATTCAATACTTATGACATTCATTGTCATAAGCTAACATTATTTGTTTTCAATGACAACCCATTACCCGAGGTCCTGAGGTTTTTCAGTAAGACAGGGTAAGTTTGTGATTCACAAGCATTCTTATTATTATTATTATGCCGTCTTCTTGCGAACGTTGGCGATCCAAATGGTCATCGTAAATTGCCAGCCGTTAAGATAATTTGGAAAAATAGTACAGTAGAAATTCCGTTTCCTTTCTGTACCGCAGTGCGGAAACCGTTTGGGCTGTTCAGCTGCGCTTTCCGGTACTCAATAGTACGTCACTTCGAAGTCATTCTTCCCACACTGCAGTTTGATTCTGGTGAAACTGCTGCCTCCACCAGTGCTAGATTTTGGTCCACCCTGTGTTTTTTATTTCCTCGGTACCACCTATATCTGGGAGGCTTTCCCCGATCTGCCACCTGGGGAGGCGCCCGATGGAGGATCTAGCAAACCCCACATGGGTCACAAGCATTACAAGATTATTATTTCAGACAGTATTCATGATGCTAAATTTTTTATGTTACAGAGTCCTCGGCTTATACATTGGTGCAATATATCTTTTATCAAGCATCATCCGTATGATATGTGGCTGCACTACAGAAAAGATAATGTTTTATGACATGCTGAATGTGAACCGCATTCTGGAGGTAGCTATACTATAAAGTTTATATCTTTGTAAACTGCTATTCTTAGTCAGTATGGGTTGTAAGTAAAATTATATTCAGCTTTGAACTTCTAGTGATTAAAAGTTTAAACATTTTCTGGACTGGGTCTGCCGCGCCTATGCTACATATGCCACTGCCCTTGGATAGTTTTCATGAAAATATGTGAACAAAAACACCCTATACTAATTACATTGGAACTATAATATAGAGATAACCATCAATTTTTAGCACTTTTATAAAGCAAAGTGAACAAAAGTAAAAAGGTGTCCTCTATAGATGTGGCAGCAAGTATGAAAATGGCTTTCTTTTCCCTTTGTATTTCATTAAATATACACTGTATAAAAAGTTATCAGAGTCAACTGTTTGTAAAGTCAGTTTTAGCATAATATTAAGAATAGGCTATATTGGATTGATACAAACCAAAATTAAAGTTGCTTGATAGCTTTTGGTATTGACCCTCATTACTATTGTCACGAAAATGTATTCAGTGGTTTCAGAGGTGAAACTTGTGTTCATTCTGTATAAAGAACACACAGTGTACAGACACCTTTCCAGGAAGTCGTCAATTTTCATTCATATGCATGTCATTAATATCACCAGGATTCTAAATTTAGAGCTTTGGATGTGATGAACTGAGAAAGTTTATATAAATTATAAGTTTTAAGTGGGTAGAAACGTTTCAGAGAGACATAACCCTCTGCATCTTCAGGCTGGGAATAGAGCAGTAGCTGTGTGCGAACACGGAAATTGAAAGTGCAAGTGATGAGGAAGATATATGAAAAGTCATCTCATTTTTCTGATATAAAAGGAAAGTTTTTAAAATTGGCATATTCTTTTCATAACTTACACAATCAGAAATTTTTAAACTCTTATCATACCAGGCTTAAATCTCTCCTGCAGGTGTTTACAACTTGATTGAATGCCACTATTTAATTAATATAAGCACAAATCAGATGTTGCTACATAGCAGAAAAGGCCTTTAAAGGGATACAGTTCATGTTCTGTATCAGTATACACTGGGTTGGTACAGGTCAATTATAGTTACTAGGCATTGAAGTCTCCTCAGACTTAGAACTATAGAGTAAGAATTCAACATTTTGGTGACTGTACATGATCAGATGTGCCCATGATTGGCTCTGAGAACACCGTGTCTTTTTCTGCAAGAGAGCGAAAAGACAAAAGGTGTAGTCAATTAGTCTGTCATCATATATTCTGTCTAGTAAAATCTGGACATGGCTGTTTTGGTCCACTTGTTATGTCCATCACTACGGCTCAGTAATGGAGGCAGCAAATACCTCTGAATCACTGGTAGATTTCTGTTAGACTGTATGGCATTACAACCCAGAAACCAGTCATGTGTATTACCTCAGGCTGTTTTCAAACATTTTAAAAATGAAGAACTTTATGGACACTTCAGTTGTTCAACTTTCCACTTGTTTAAAGTTAAGAACTGATAAAGTAGGTAGCAGGCTAATGTAGTGGTCATTCCCTTCTTCTTGGCTCTACAACACAGTGTGGGTCTTTGCCGCCTCCTTTCGGAGGTTCCTTGGTCTTTTGAAGTGTGTATTTGTGAGTAGTGAGTGACCAGCCCACTGCCTCTGCACAATTTCTACCCAATCCTGATTTTGTCTGCTAGAGCCATCTAGTAGTTAATCAGGAAAGACATGGGTGAGAAATGGCCGCTGAATTTTGCTTATGAAACATCTCATTCATGCTTTTAAGGTTATTATACATGCCGTAAATCTACGACATGGGACCGCCATCTTTACTTCTCCTCCAAAGGAAGTTGTGTTACGGACTCTTATCACCCTTAAAAATCCATTGATCTTGGCTGGGCCTGAACCCGTGAACCTTGGGTCCAGTGGTGAGCACGCTAACCACTAGTCCAAGGTGATTCTCTGTACTTTTATTTATGAGATACCTTTTAAAATATCAGCCAGGTTACCAACTGTTCTGAGGTTTTTTTAAAACTCTCCATGTTAATATTGAGACAGTTTCTCAGAAGTATCCGTGACTGAATTCTTCCAAGTTTGTATCTATTCATTACTGATGATTGTCTTCCCATATTGTTCAGTGTAACTTCTGCAGGTGTTGATTATTGATTTTAAAGTTATTTAACAAGCTGTTTCAACTTCAGTGAAACAGAACAATGGTTATTAATGGCAACAGGGGTAAGAATTTTGAGGAGCTGGCTGTGACCTGTTTCAAGGTAGTTCAGGAGACCAGAAAAACCACAAAAATGTTCAGTCAGGATAACTGATGGCCCAACTAAGATTTGAACCATGTCCCTTCCAAACAAGTCAAGAGTATTACCACTATAATGATTCTGCAACTGAAGTGTTATTATTAAATAGCATTTTAAAGTTTCAGTAAGCAGGCAGCTTATTTCTGTGTCACTAGAGGTTTTGCCTGAAACTCCTAGAATATATTTAATATCATATTTTCTCCATCATCTACAGGTTTGCTCAGACATTCACAAAGCTCGTGAGACTGTTGGCTGTTATTATGAGAGAGCCTTGTATGAAAAATTCTTGTCCATGTTCCGCCTACCTGAGCCAGATGAACTGGTAACAACCGTATGAACCTCCACAACAAGAGATGGATAATTAACTCCCAGTAGCAGAAAGCTGCCTAGTGTAGACTTTGCTGCATTTCCAGGACTCACTCTTCAAGCCTGTAGTCTTGAGTCCCTAGTCATCCTTCAAAGTCCAAAACAAACTGAGAATCTGTCTTGGGGGGGGAGATTTCACACACTTGACATTGTGCCTAAACAGCATTCTGATGGTGTGGTTTAAAGTCATGCTGACAAAGAAAGGTGACAAAACAGATTTATCTTGGGCTGAGGGTGGACTATTGGATCTGCTGGTTGCTGTAGCTGTTCTGCCTGAAAGTGGCCCTGAAAAACTCCAGCAGGCTCTCCCTCTGGGCTGCAAAGTCTACCATAAACCCACACACATACACTAACCTTTGTGTTGATTCCAACTCCTCCACCACCACCACCCTTCCAACAAACACTCTGTTCTTGCCACATTGGTGCACAAGGTCAGATCCCTTCCCTTTATAAGCATGACCTTCAACCATGTTATCAGTTGCTCTCCAGGCACATCATCAGGTCTGTGGACCTTCCCTGAGGAAGATTCTCATTTCCCATTGACTCGTGAAGGACAACTTAGGGCTCGACTCCAGCTGCATACCTGGAATGTGGTTAGGTCTACACTGGGTAGACCAGCTGTTCTGTCAAGATCGAGGAGAACCAGTGGCACATTCATCTGAAGCAGCAGTTCTTAACCTGTAGTCTGTGGGTCCATGACAGTTTAGAAAATTAAATAGTTTTTCCCAGCGTACTAATAAAGCATATATAAGTAAAAAAGCAAAATCTGAAATTGAAATTTTTTAAACACTCTGTAAAAGTGAATAAATTTGAAATTGGAGATTAAAAATTAATTTGGTACCCTTAGCTTGGTTCATTAAAAATTAATTTGGTACCCTAGCTTGGTTCATGGGAGCAGCGCAAGCGCCATCTGTTTGTTATGTGAGTGACTAAGAGGCTTCAAAACTTCCAGACAGTTCAAGACGTCTTGCGCCTTATCAGGATGAGATAATTGTACTAGAACGAGCTAGAAACATTGAAAGTGTTTTAAACAGGCAGAACCTTCATTTGTTGATCTGTTGAGCAACTTGCAGTACGGAGTGAACAGTACAGTGTACAATAACAGTCTTTATGTATAGTGTGTAATGAAGATCTAAGTGCGTTATTAGAGGTGTGCTATGCTTGAATCCGATTCCATGATAGTATGTTGTGAATAAATAGATTTATGGATATCCAAAAAAAATATGATGGATCACTGGCTTAAGTGGAAAAAGAAACTGAAGACGATGAAGGTGCATCATGCTTAAAACAAAGCAATTTAACTCAAAAGAAGTCTAAATGTTGCAAAAACAATGTTCAGTGTGTATTGATGGGTCACCATGTCCAGGTTCAGAACACAAACAGCACCTGCAGTGCATGTTATGTTACACATTATTGTCAAATGAGGCCATGAAACCATCTAACTTATGAAGACACTTGAAAAGTAAACATAAAGAACATGCTACCAAATCTATAAAAAAAATCAAAAATAAAGAGCAACAGCTCCCACAAAGTAGGAAATTAATTAAGAAGATCACAACAGGTTCTTGCAATGAAAGTGCTGTGAAAGTCTTGTATGAAGTGTCGATGCTCATAGCTAAAGCTGGAAAACCTCGTAGAATCATTGGAGAACTGCTGCTAAGGTCATGGTTAGTGCAATGATCAGAGAAAAAGCTGCAAAAGTTTGAAATTTTGTGTATTTTTGTGTGTATTTTTTACATTTCCCTTTGAATTCTGACTGGGCACGCTGTCTTACATTTGAAAGTCCAGTACCTGAAGCTTTTGTAGGTTTCATAAAAAACCCACTTCCCTACCTCAAAAACATTTTGGGTCCTTCATTTTAGAACCTCATGTGTCTCTATCTGTTTTGTAGTTTTGGTAACTTCTCCAATATTTTTAAATGAGTGTACTCCTGGGGTCTGCACATTACCCTGTGGAACCTTATCAGATTTCCAGTGCTAAAATGTTTCCAAAGTTTCTTTACTAAATAGTTACTAAGTTTTGCAATAAGGGCCTGCTAATTAGCACTTTTACTTCATGTTTGACAAATCTTGATCTGGGCCCACAGATCAATCACTGTGACAGGTGTTATGTGGCTTTACTTGGTCCGTCAGTAGGTACACACTATGAAAACTTCAGATCATATTATGGTTAATCACGAATTTGTGCATCCATCTGTTGGGATTACCAGTTAAGGAAATTAAAAATTATATTTGTGGATTGGCCTCAAGTGGCATTACTCCCATACCGGATTTCATTAAAATTCACCCAGCCAGGCTTGCATTAACACACAATGCATACAGATAGACATCACTGAAGACGTAAAAGAAGGTGATAAGTTGCAACCTGTTGATGTATTTCTTGCTTTATTTGAGGACAAGCTGATAGAACACATTACATTTGAAACAAACTTGTATGCTACCCACAAGGGGAAAACTTTCAAGAATATTACCAAAGAAGAAATGAAAGCATTTCTAGCAATAAGCACTCTCATGGACATGAAGAGACCATGTAGTTATTATGACTGTTGGTCATTGCATGATGAATTGAGAGATGTTTATATTTCTTCGCTGATGCATATAAAAAGATTTAGCTGGATTCTGTCCAATATCCATGCAAATGACAATTCAGCAGTACCAGGTAGGGGGGCCCTAATTTTGATAAATTGTACAGAATTAGGCCAGTAATCAATTCTCTATGGAGACATTCAGAGAAAATTATGTACCTACCACAGAACAAGTCATTGATGAATCTATGATTAAGTTTTATCACAAGTATATCCCTAATTAAAAATTTGAAAAGGGCTACCATCATGAGGAACAGTAAAAGCCAATGGCAAAGGATTACCATCACTGAAAAGAGATGATGCACTAGAGATAGGTGAATGTGATTTAGGTCAGATGGGCTTGCATGTGTGATCAATTGACAGCCCAACAAACAAGTAAACAGGAAAGAAAAAGATAGTACATTACTAAAATTCAGTGTCCACAAGTTGTTTAGTCCTACAATGCTAATATGGAGTGTGTTGACAAGGCTGACATGTTAAAATCCTTGTATGGAATTGTCAGAAAAGCTCAAAGATTATGGTTGAGGCTCTTTTGACATATCTGTTGTTAATGCCTTTTTTGTGTATTGTCACATTGATTCAGGCAAAGCAATCAATTTTAAAGACTAGGAGGAAGGTAGCTGTACAATTAGTTGGGATTAGCTCTTTCAAGGGTAGTCCAGGGGTGCAAGAATGTGATTCTGACAGCGCAAAACTGAAGAGATATATAGTGTTGCAGAAGAAATAAGAACATCCTAATCAAAGCATCTCCCTGAAGATGTGCATATTGTAGCACAAAATCATCCCTGCACAGAAGTCAGTGGATCTGTAGTACATATTGTGTGGGACTCTGCTTATCTGCTGAAAAATTGTTTTGTAAAGTACCACAAGTAAGATATAACAGATTGCAGGAACATTCCTTTTCTTGTATTTTGCTGTTTTTTAATTTCCTGGCAACAATATAACAAAATATTAATTTGTATTTTACAAGGCAATTATACTTTCATTATAGCTGTAATCCTTATTGTGTATTATTCCTGGTTTTCAACTGACCATCTAAATGTTGTTTCATTGCATAATCTATGTTTGAATAAAGCACTTATACTTCCATTGTTGGTGAAATACTTTCAATGCGAATGATGTGCACATAGCTATCACATTTTCTTGTATTTATTAATATCTCACTTGTTTTGTATGCCCTTGTACCACAATGGTTTAAAATAAAACCACTCTGTAATTAAAAAACTGTTGATCAAAAAAAATCAGCATTTACGTATTCTTCTAACCGATTACTTTTAAGATTTGAGTAGTGTTGCCAACGGCTATCTATACAGAAACAGAATTCGTTATTTCATTTGCATTAAGAAGGAATATTAGCTTATGAGAGTTCATATTTTCACGGCGGTTAAAATGTTGACCACAAGTATTTTGTCTACTCTGTAGCAGTAGTACGTTGTCTATGGTAATAATATTAAGACTTTGCATACCGTGTAGTGTATTAGAAATATAAAAATAAGCAAACAAACAAACTGTTAACACTTACAAATGCCAAACGCGTTTCGACCTCAAGAGTTCATCATAAGTGGCAAAAGGGAATTAATAATTTGTTTTAAAGCCATTTTTGATTATATAAATTAATTCCCTTTTGCCACTGATGATGACCTCTTGAGATCGAAACGCGTTTGAAACTAGTGTCATTTATAAGTGTTAACAGTTTGTTTGTTTATTTTTATATTTCTAAGATAATAATAGTTACTTCCCTTTTTGATAGGTGACAAACCTGATTCTTATACACAGTCACTTGTTTATAAAGAACGTGGAGGAAGAGGTGCCAACAACATATTAAATAAATAACTTTCTGCTGTAGTGTTCTGAAGTGTGTTGTATTGGAAAGTTTGAGGGATTATGGCTCCAACACACAGGAAACAAGAAGGATTGCTAGCTCGGGTCAATTTCCCATTATATACATTACAAATGTTGACCAGTCGTCATGTGTTAGTTGGTGGTGGAGGAGGTTCTTCAAATACTGGTGTTGCTAATGGATTTGTGAGTGAATGCTATGAGGGAAAGTAGTGTGGTTTCCCCGTTTTCGGTGTTGTAAACAGAAAATAACTTACTACTGGTGTTACTTAATTGCAGGAAATTTTCGAGCTGTCTCATGATGGAGAAAGATTTGTTGCAGAGGAGGTTATGCGTCATGAAACTGGTTCCAGTGTTGTAATGAATTGTGCATCCAACAGTAATGGGCATCGCACATTCCTTGTTGCGGGACAGGAAAGCCATTGTCAGCTTTATCATGTCAGTATGGAAATTCTTGACAATGAAGACATAAAATCAAATGATGGTAATATTCTTTCATCAGAGCCTTATGTATTAGGATCAGTTGGTCTAAAATACAAACTACGAAAGTGTTAAGTCTGGAACCATACCTGTTTTTGTAATTCAACGTACAAACCCTGTCTTGGGCATTGTCAATCCGTGTGACATACAACTGCATTTTATATTTTGTTTGCTTTTTTCCCAGTTATTTCATTTGTTTCTGTCTGTCTCCATTGTCCCTGTTTATACATGTTTATCTTCAGCTGGCATATTTAAATAATGGGTTTATTATGTGTTTGCAGATATTTCCTTTCATTTTGTCTGATGTTTGAAGGAGGCATGTCAAGTTTACAGATATATTGTAGCCAGATGAGCATAAATGTATTTTGTGGGAAGCAGAGTTAAATTTATATATTGCATTCATAATTGTCACTCAGAATAGGTATTACTAGTCACATTTCATGCCTGGTATTCTCCAAATGCAGGTTTAGCACTGCACACACAAAGCCAAAGAATGCACCAATGTTATCCTTATTTACTGAGTATCAATAAGTAGTGTGACAGGAAGCTAGCATGTTACGTAATGGATATTAAAGAAGTAGAGGCATTACCTGTTGTTGTTTTCTTGTTGATTGTTTTCCAGTTGGGGACAGTAATGCTGTAAGACAGCGCAGCGAGAAGTCATCTGTGTCAGATAGTGGAGAAGCTCATGGTGCAAAAAAGAAAGTGGACAGGAATAGCAACTCTTATAAGCAACTTATATTCCAAATAAAACCTAGTGATAGCATTCAGACAGATTTCAGGTAAGTACTGTAACTTGTAGTAGGTGGTAACAGGTTTGAATGATGGTTTCATATGTATAGGTCGCACAAGAAGTGCTGTCACTTGCAAAAAAAACTGATTTTGGTCGTGTGAGATGGACCCATCCGAAGCATGTGCTAGAGGGTTGTGAGCTTCAGTTGGTTTGTAGCTCTAGCTGTGTTTAGATCGGTGTATCATCGCAGCTGAGACTGTGTGACCCCCACTACTATTGAACTCCCCTCTCTCGGCTTACACATCGCGCATTTAGGTGCCAAGACTACTCGCACGACCTATAACTAGAATATACCATTAACATTTTCTTAAATTCAGACTCAAACCCAAGAACATGCATGTAATTTAAGGCTTTTACCTGTCCAACTGAGTTGATTAGACAGGTTTTATTATACATGTTCTGGTCTGGTTCATAGTTAGAGACTGGATTCCTGTTGCTAATAATTTATAAAACTATTACAGGTGCTGAACCACCGTAAGAAACTCTACTTTGGCATGTCTGTCATTGAAATACACATTTGAATGGGAGTGGCATTGCAAATCATAGCATGATAATTTATTCTGCCCAGTTTGAGTACACACCATGGGTAAACCATATGGCCAGTTTGCGATTGCATTTTGAAACAGGCCTCTCTTAGTGTTATCACTGCACTGAGTTTATTGATGTATTTTTGCATAATGAAGTGTAAATACATAAATTACTATTACAATTTATTTTACGTGCATTATCAGTTCCATATGAGGCAAAATTAGAATCAGACCAGATGTAGCAATTTTTACAGCAGTATAGGCCAAAACTAGCTGTTCTGTTGCGATATACGCTTATTTCATTGAGATAACACAAGAGCTAAGAGTATTTAAAATCTTTTAGAGTGTTCTGGACCAACTGTGTTATAAAATGTAAGGGTAGAAAGCTGTTTTTTGTCCAACCCAAATAAGGACACATGTTGAACTGGCTGAGCAGAGAATTGACTCAACTTTGAAACTGTGTCATCATGCTGAATACTGTTCTAAAACATTGCCCCTTACTAAAATGTTCCTACTGTTGGAGCAGTCTGCATGATATTTGATACTGTAGGTGTTTCACCAGTGACCAATACACTAAATTATGTACAAACTATAAAATACTAAAAATACAAGAATGAGATGAAGCACTAGAAAACTAATGGAGAGCTGATGGTAAGTTAATGTTTCTGTACTGCATATTAGAATGGTTGTGTATCTGCATAGATGGGTACATCTGTTTGAAAGTTGAGTCAGTTCTCTGTGCAGACGATAAATATATGGCAGACCCCGTAAAACAACAGAGATAGAAGAGTATTACTTCATAATCTGTTCCAGTGAGGATGAGCCTTTACAGCGAGTGGTGCGAATTGGGCGATCAGGAAAGTTGATGGCCACAGGCGGCACTGACGGCCACATTCGTCTCTGGCAGTTTCCATCCCTAAAGAAGAAGATTGATATTTCTGCACATAGTAAAGAAATTGATGACCTGGACATCAGTCCCAGTGAGAAGTTGGTAAGGTCTTATTTAGCCTTGTGTTTGCGAGTTGTTTCTCTGATTTACTCATTGCTATAAACAAGTGTTTTCAAATCAGTTTGTGCTGACCAGACAGAAAAGTCTGTTTAAAATTGCAAAATTATCAAAAACCACATGGACTGCATTATGTACTTCGTCTCTTAGGTGAAGCTGTAGTTATGTTATTCTGAAATAGTGGGAACTGAATACCATCTTAAAAACATTACCCCATAGTAAAATGTTTCTGGTATTATTTTTCTTTGAGGTGAATATACAAGATATATGCACATACATTTTTATTGCTCAGTTAGGTTGAGGTTTTAAGTTCAGAACTCCCTGTTGACAGCATGTAAAATGATAACAATAACATTTATATTTTATTTAATAAATTGTTTCGGTTAATGTTAAAAATAGAAAATAAATTATTGGTACAAATAAAAAAAATAACAACTTGGCTATTATATCTTTTGCAATAAAGTGTTTGTTAGAAGTGATTGGCCAAGTGTTAGAGTATTGTATGAACTATAACTTTAAGTAACTTAAATAAAACTACATTACTAGTTTTCGAGAAAATAAGGTAATGAAAGAAAAAATGAGAGGTGATTATATATGACCACACAGTAGAAGTGACAGATGAAATTAATTGTTTAAGTGTGAACTTAGAAAGTATAGAGGGTTGGAATACACATGGGGTTAAATTAATGTTGAAAGGAAATCAGATTTCAGTAGCCATCAATACTAAAAGTAGATATAAGTCAGAAAATAAAATAAAGGGATAGAGCTTACAGATGATTTAATAGGATCTTTGACTCATAGAAATTTAATTATATATATAGTGTATAAAAGACTATTGAGAACAGGAAGAGTTGTACAAGTACTGTGGATTATAAAAATCCAGAGTTAAGTGACTATTGTCTTTTGTAAAAGAAAACTTCAGCAAATAAATTATTATTTGTATTGTGATATGATGCAGGTAAGACCTCAGCACTGCAATGAAGAATATAGAAATAAATTAAAATTTCAGTCTCTAACTTTTAACTAAACGCATACATTACAGAAACTGTACTATGGCATCTTGTTGTCATGACAGCTTCCACATTCAGTGGAACATACTAGGTGAGTGTATGTGTCTGTATGTATGTGCGCTCCTGGTTTTGTCATCAAATAATATTTTGCTTAGGAACAGTTTGCCCTATGAGATTTTTATGCTGAACACCATGAAACATTTAAATGTTTTTTGTCCCAAGGGAGAGTGAGAAACATATTTCTGTAACTCTCTCTTCCTACAAAGATGGCTGTCTTTTGGGTTGTAGCATGGTGCTGCAACCCAGAAGACAGACATCTTTGTACTCGCCACCATGAGAACCTGAAACCCTAAGACAGAGTTTGGTATATGAACAAACATTTGTTTACTCCTGAATGTTTTTTGTATGCAGGTAGTAAGTATATCAAAAGATGGCCTCGCAATAATCTGGAGTGCTGATTCTGGAAAGAAATTACAAGAATTGATATGGACAATTCCTGAAGGCTCCAAGTACTTCTATAAACGTTGCAGGTAATGCCATTGTTATGTCTCTCTTCTTTATCTCATCCCACACATGTTAAAGTATTTATAATTGGACCCTCCCCTTTTCTACTATCTACCGTAACTCTGTAGTTCGTGGCCTTGCACTGCTTTTATGTACAGGCATACCTCGGAGATATTGCGGGTTCAGTTCCAGACCACCGCAATAAAGCGAGTCACAATTTTCTTGGTTTCCCAGTGCATATATAAGTTATGTTTACACTATACTGTCGTCTATTAAGTGTGCAATAGCATTATGTCTAAAAGAACATTGCGAGAATTACCAAAATGTGACACAGAGACACGAAGTGAGCACATGCTGTTGGAAAAATGGCGCCGATAGACTTGCTCGACGCAGAGTTGCCACAAACCTTCAATTTGTAAAAAATGCAATATCTGCGAGGCAATAAAATGAGGTATGCCTGTAATTGGAAGTTTTGTCAACATATTCAAAAAAAAAATTGTTTATCTACCCTATTCTCAGCCATTTAAATCCAATTTATGTATTTACTCTCTTTTTCTCAAGTTTTCATTTTAATATTATTCTTCACATTGCCTTCAGTTTTCCCCAAGTGATACCATCCCTTGAGGTTTCTCAACCAGCATTTTACATGTTTCTTAATTTCTTGTTTCGTAGATCCTTTTTACACAGATATTACTAATTTTTCACATACTTGCATTTGTTTTCTAGAGTAGTGTTGAGCAACCATTGTACACTCATGGCACACTAAATATTGTTGAAGAGTCATGGCGGCACACCAACCCCATTTAGCAAATTGTGGTGGGAGGTAGATGGTTTATGGCACTGATTTCCTGTGACAACTTCTTATAAATCATCCCAAACAAAAAAATGTTCTATTTGATGTTCATAATTATCCATCTTTATTTTTTGTAATTTATTTTAAATATATTCATTATTTGAAATAAATTAAGATAATATTTCCCACATTTGATCCAAAATTTATTAACTATGTGTAAACATTTAAATTTAAAGATACTTATTCATATTTTTAGATGTAGATTGCAGAAAAATACATACAGTGGCAATAAAAGTAAGGGAAGAGGTACACACATTTTGCTGCAAAGTGGTTGTGTTGTTTTCCAGTTCAGTTTAATAAATCTTGTCTGTCCTCAGTCTGCCTGATCATAATGAGGAAAATGTAAACTGGGACAGAGCAGAAAACAAAATTAACAATTGTTTATCTCATTATAGTTATAATATGAGGTGAAAATTTCATGGCACACTTAGATGGCCTCTGTGGCACACCAGTTGCGAATCACTGTTCTAGAGGAATGAATGCTGGATCTTATTGGATCAAGCCTGCTCATTCTGCATGTTTGTGGCTTGAAATTCTGTAGCATCAGTTATTATCTTATTTACAACATATTCAGCTATAGATAATTCTTCATTTGCTGTGACCAGGTTTGGCTTGGTTGAAGGGGACATAAACAGCACTCGACTCTTTGTGCTGACAAATCCTGTGGGTAAAATAGGCAAACAGAAAGCATTTCTACAGCTGTGGCTGCCAGAAGATGGCTCACTGAAGAGAGCTGTACCATGCAGCGACACTTTGTCAGCTCTGGCTGTGTCAGATGATGGGAAGTTTGTTGCTGTGGGCACAATGTTCAGTGGCAGTGTTTCAGTGTACATTGCCTTCAGTCTGCAGGTACAGTTTCTTGTCAAAATTGTGTTCTTCAGCCTCACGAGAGTAACTGTGAAACATTCCCTTGCTTTATTTCATGTTCTCAGTTGAAGGGTGTTAGATTTCACACTTTGAGAGCTTTGTGCTTGTGCTGAGGAAAATTTGTGGACCAAACTGGATGAACTAAGTGAAAAATGGAGAATATTACATAATGTACTTTTGATCTGTTAAATCATGGATTGTTTATTAGGTTATTACTATTGTGCTATTTGAACTGCAGACATTATGTACTGGCACATGTAATGTGAAGATGATTGTTAATTGTGATTAGATAAGTGTTTGGAAGAAGTTGGTGAGGACTTGTTTGAGGGTAGGTACTGATGATATTCATCTTGTGAAGGTGTAAGTCCCAGGTTCAAATATTGCCTGAGCTACTGTAAGCATTGTTAAATGAACTGTAAATAAGTAAATGAACATTCCCAAATACTAGCCTTTACAGTGACCATTACACCTACTTGCTTGGTTCATTCAACATCTGTACAATGGAATGGATGCATTGAGTAGATGGGAAGCAAGATACATATATAAAATTTTGATGTGAAACTATCCTGGAAACAGCTAGTCAGAATACAGACTGGGTTCATGTTGAAATGGTTCCTATTCCTAACCTCTCAATCCCAAAAGATTTAAATAGATTTAAAAAAATATCACGAGGATAGACCAGATGAAACCTTAAATCCACACAGATTGTATGCTTGGAATGAAATGACTATAAGGTGTACTTTTTTAATAAAAGTTCACTGATATGTTATAAGCAATCTTGTAATATCTGCAGAATATGAAGATGTAGTGTACTGGCAAAGTAATTCAGTTTGATGTCTTCATTCTTGGAGCAGTCAGAACAGATTCCAATAGAATTAAAAGAATTTGAAAATATTGGTCATTTAATCAAGTTGGGGTGGCAGGGAATGCATACGGGATTGGTGGCAGATGCTCTTGGAAAATGACCACTCAGAAGACAAAGAGAAGGCGGGTCATAACATTAAAATTTTAGAGAGGGTGGTAGGTGGATGGATCTGTCCTGTGGTAGGTTTTGGTATTAATGTTGAATCTTGTGGTTCTGCTACTAGAGATTGAGTTCATTTATTGAATGCTTGATTTTGTTAACAAACCGTTTAAACTGTACCATGAAATAACTAGAGAGGCAGACAGCATGCTCCATTTAGCTTATGAAGAGATTTTCCTTTCAATCCATTCTATCGATGATAAACAGCAGATGCCATCCTAATTTGTATGTCCAGCTGAAATGCATGTCTCCACTATAAAAAGTCCTGTTTGTGTCCATCTTGACTGCCATAGAATCATTTTCTTCTTCTTGGGCATACAGCTCTTAAAGTTTAACCAGTGCCTCCTTCAATATGGTAGCCCATTCGGTCCTATCTTCAGCTCTCTTCCTCCATCTCCGTACTCCTAACTCCTCCAAATCCTTCTTGACACAATCCAATCATCTCAGCCAGGGTCGTAGAATCATGTTTAAAGTTATAACATTAGCAAACGTGTGTTTTTGCAGAGAGTGTTGCATGTTGAAGGAGCCCACAGCATGTTTGTAACAGGGCTGGATTTTCTACCTGTGGCATCAGGAGGCCAACCAATCACCAGTTGTACTGAGGCAGCCGTTGTAAGCATTTCTGTGGATAACCGCATTTGCATACACAGTCTTGCCTTCAGAAGTGAGTATAGTCATAAAACGAAACATAGAGTTTAACACTCGATGAAATAAAAATTAAAACCATTTCTTTCTTAGTTACGTACATAAAGTACAATGTGGGCTAATTCTGAACATCTGGCTTTCTATCACATACAAAAATAAGGTACAGGCAGGATTGGCATGCATTGAATGTTCACAAATAGAAATGTTTTACCAGCAGTTGTTGAGGGGGTGCAAACACTTGTTTTAGCAGCAAAAAGAGCTTGCTAGGTTTGCGCATGTGCACATGGCATCGGAAGAAGGATTGCAATAAGTTGGACAGATATGGAGGTGAGCAGTACGATTCATTTTCTGCATACAAAGGGCAGCTTGCTAGAGCTTAGAGTCAACAAAAAGTTAAAAAACAGTCTTATCAGTGAAAAAATATGGGCAGTCTGGGATTCATATGGCATCCTGTTAATGGACTTTCTCAAGGGCTGAGGTAATCAGTGTAGTAGAAGAGACAAGGAACAATATGAGATGGTGTATCATTTTCAATGACAATTTGACACACCACACACAGACCAGTATACCCAATAGTGGTTTCATTGGTGTGGGTGGAAAGTTTCACAATGTTCTGCACACTTTTATCTCATTGGGCCCATATAACAACATTTATCAGGGAAGCAATTTGTGAGTAATGATTATGTTGTTGTGGCCGTGATGAGCTGGTTACAGGTGCTTGGTTTCTTACTGAGGCAGATACCTCAAAAGGGGTAGTAATTATGTACAGAAATAATTTTACATGCCTTATTTTCAGAGCATCGCTTATAGAACAGCGAAAACATATTGTTTTTGTTATTCAGAATTTCAGGCAACTTAGAGTAAAATCCATACCATTTTCCTCTTTTACTCTTGAACAAGATACTAACTTCATAGAGACATTACTTCAGTATTGTTATTTTATTACTTAGTTCAGAATCAGTTATCATTGTGTATACTGAAAAAAATTTCAAAATACTGAAGTTTGTAAGTAACATCCAAGTGTATGTTAAATCCATATTTATTATGTATATGAGGTGTGATCGTCAAGTTTCCAGACTGCGCCTATAAAAACCCGTACACTTATCTCAGGTATTAAATTCATCCATCACCCTTGAAGTAGTTCCCCTGGGAGTGAACACAACGATCCCAGCGCCGCTGCCAAGCCTGGAAGCATCCCTGGAAATCTTTCTTTGTCAGCCTGTCAAGCACCATCTGCGATTCTCCCTGAATCTCTTCTATCGTCTCAAATCTCCTTCCCTTTAGCTGAATTGTCATCTGTGGGAAGAGGAAGAAGTCACACGGAGCTAAGGAGGGTGCGGGATGACGGCCATAGTGTTTGAGGCCAAAAACTACCGAACTTTGAGGGCGGTGTGCGCTGGCGCGTTGTCATGATGCGTCGCATGTGGAGTTCTTCCTTTAGAATCAGCTGACAGGTCCCATAGCCTATCCCAACAATGTCGCACAAGTCGTTGAGGGTACGACGTCGATCTTCGTGAATGGCCTGCCGAATCTTCGTAACATTTTCGGGCGTTGTGCTCGAAGATGGTCGTCCAGAACGCTCGTCATCATCGACAGAGGTTCGGCCATTTTTAAAACGTGAATGCCACACAAAAGTTTGCGGACTCCCCAAATGCTTGCTTTAGCATTTCATAGGTTTCCGTAGCCGTTTTGGCAAGTCTTTGGCAA